TGCCATTAAGCTTGCACAATATTCGAAATTAATTATTTCATTGATAACTCGGTGAAATATACAAAACAATGATTTTGGTAGAGTTTGATGGTTGATACATCTAACTATTTTCGGAATTGTTTGACTAGTGAAGGTAATAATTTATAGCAGGAAGAATATGCTGATATAAATACTTGCTATGAATTTTGCTTCTGAATTGTTGCAAAATGGGTTTGAAGATGAATGTCACAAAGTTTTGGAACAAGAAAAAGAAAAGAATTAGCTTATAATTTTATTAAACCTTTATTTGAATTAAATACACGTTATCAAGAATATCAAACTTTTTTAACTTGGACGAAAGTTTTTTGTTGCCAAATGGCAAATTGGTTTTTATACGTAAATCACATGAAACATACAATAAATATCCATTGAAAAATTCAATTATGATAATACAAATGCAATTATTACACTAAATTTTGCCAGTCACAAACAATTCCGTCGATGCAACTGAAAGGTTATTAAGGCAAAGAGAAAAAAGATTGACAAAAGAATATAGACAAAATTTTTGGAGCAAACATATAAAAATAGTAAATTTAAAGGTATCTTTTTTTTATTAATAATTATGATTTCTTGTAACAGTCCCAATTTGTTGAAACATAAAAGTTCACCAATTATGGATGGAAGTCATCTTTTTGTCCTTTCTGATATGTATTGACAAAGCAGAGGAGTTAATTGCAGGAGAAGAAAATAAAGTATCAAATTCAAATACAAAACCAAATTTGTCAAACTCACGGGATACACAAAGATCTGAAAGAAAAAAATCTAATGGAAATAATGGTAAATGCAAAAAAAAAGTTTTTTAGAATATGAAATTGAAATTATCAACGATCTATCTTCTTGACTTTACTAATTGAAATTTTAATCCTAATAAGAAACTGCTCCTAATGTAAAAATAGTTTCATTAGATTCACTATTTTCAAAAACAAAAGCTACTCCTCATCTATACTATAAACCTGTGTCATCAGAAGATGCACAATCAAGGCTTAAAGTTATGGAAAGAAGAAGAAATAGGGGACACTCTTAGGTCTGGTATATTTGCAAAAAAAAAAATTTTTAAATGATGATAATAATAAATTCATCACATTTAAGAATAATTATGTTTCCGTTTCTTTTCTCTCTTTCCTTTCTCATACAAAGGATAATTGCGAGATTTTTACAGGATCATTACAGAATTTTATTGACAATAATCAAACATTTAAGAAATAAATGTTTTTTTTAATGATAATAATGTCTTTATATACATTTTATATATCTCACATATTTTTTCATTACAATTTTAGCTTGGATTAGAATATAATAATATGCAATATATATAAATATATGTACACTATATTATATTATATTATATTTTCTTGTTATTGTGATTCCGTTCAATATATATTAAAAATTTCTTTACTTTTTCAACCATTTCTTTTGATTTATAAGTAAAAAATAGGGTA